CTAGGCTGACGCCACGGCACTCACTCTAGCCTGGGCAAAAGAGTGAGACTCTGACTCAAAAAAAAAAAAAAAAAGAAAGTACGGAATTCTCATATACCCTCCTACGCCCCTGCATGCAGTTCCCCTTGCTACCGTCTTGCATTAGCGTGGTGCATTGTTAGGATGGACGACCCAGTGTCGATACTTTATTATTGCTAAGGCCGCAGTTTACGTTGGGGTTCCCTCTTTGTGCTGCACATCCTCCGGGTTTTGGCAGATGCCTGCCGCATCCACCATGACCGCGTCATACGGAATATTTTCACTGCCCTGCATTTTCTCTGTGCTCCATCTGTTCATGCGCCCCGCACCCCGCCCTCCCCACCTCCTCCCCCACCAGTCTGTGAAGCTGCTCCAGGACGCTGCCGAGCCCGGGTGGTCGGGCAGAGAGAAGCAGTGTGGGAGAAGGCCAGGCTGGCCCCAGGGGATACGGGGAAGGGGGGGGGTCTGGCCTGCCGCGTCCCTGACCCCCTTGCCTCCCCTGGCTCAGGGCTGCGCTGCTACGCCAAGTTCCACCGGAACCGCAGGGTCACACGGAGGAAGGGGCGCTGCGTGGAGCCCGAGACGGCCAACGGCGACCAGGGATCCTTCATCAACGTGTAGCGGCCCCGCGGGCGGCGCCTCCCACCGCCTGAGCCCCGGAGGTTTGGCGAAGCCCGGCCATTCGTTCATAACTTAGCAGCGGGTGATCAGATGGGACCAGACGGCCGAGGCTGCAGCCTCAGGCCAGGACACAGCCCCAGGAGGGGAGCTGCCGGGCGAGCGAGCCACCGCTGCACCCACCGCCGGACCCGCGGCCTGCGCCGCCCGCGTGGCCCGACTCCGCGCGACGGCAGCGCCGAGAGCGCCCTCTCCTGTCCGACAGCAGCGCTGCAACGGCTTCAAGCTCAAGGCCACGAGGAGGGTTTTGAGAGGAAAAGAGACACATACTCCCGGAGGGGAGGGAGGCAGCCCAAGGGCAGGAGACGACTCTGCAGCACCTCCAGTCCAGGCACTGTGCTGAGCGCGCGGAACACATCACCTCACTGAATTTTCACAACCTTTTCAAGGAGCATTATCTCTACTTAACAGGTGAGGACACGGGCACAGTGGAGTTATGTGACTTGCGCAGCGTCCCACGTGAATGCCGCTTGCACCTTAACGCGTGTGAGAGCCACCCGGGATCTGGTTAAAATGCGGATTCTGATTCAGTGGATTCTGCGTTTCTAACAGGCTCCCAGGGCTGCCCACGCTGCCGGGACCCCACCGAGAGGGCCCCGGGAGGAAGTAGATGGCGGAGCCCAATCTGGACCTGGACCAAGGGTATAAAGCTCCCAGGGCCACTTCTTGCTTCCCCACAACTAAGAATTCCAGGCTGTCCCAGACTTTCAGTGGGAAAGCCACACTCCTTGCTAGTTCCTCTCACTGTAGCTGGAATCACTTGACTGTTCTCTGCCTTCCCTGGACAAGGGTGTATCGTCTTTGAAAACAAAACAAAATACACCTTAAGCACCTACTTGCTTGTAAGGAATGAGTCGGGCAGATTGGTCCCTGCCCTCCAGTAGCAGATATTTTGAGATATGAAGTGTTTGGGAAAAACAACAATATTGTCCCTTAGGTCCCTGTGGTCTTGCTGACCCAGTCCTGGGACACACACTTTCAAGTTGCCCTGAGAGCTTCTACCCCAGGGGTACTGAAGCAAACAGGGACTCTAAAAAAATATACACATTGCCCATGTATACCCACTTGGCATACCGCTTAGTGGTTCCCAGGCCACCAGAAACCATCCCTAGACCCCACCCCACACTTCCGCAACAGAGCCCATGGGGAAGTTGGGGCAACCCTGAGACTGAGGTGCTATCTGAAGCTAGCTGTCCCCAACAGGCCAGACCCACGATGGCCACCCAGAACATCTGTCCCAGCAGAGATGGCTCCAGGGGCCACCTCAAGAGAAGCATTTAAATCCCCCCACCGGGCATCGTACTCCTGGTCAACCCTCCAGTCCAGGGCAAACTAGGTTGCAAATGACAAAAGCCTTCCCCATCCAAATTCCCCACTGGCCTGGTCCGTGCCCATAGGATGCCAGGGCTGTTTACTGCTCTGGGAAAATCAGTCGGGGTCAGAGTCAGGCACCAAGGAAAGCGGTTAGATCTAGAAGAAACCCAATATGCTGCTCTTCTCTCCCTATTCAAGTTTGATGGGCATGGGAGTCTAGCAGGGGAGAGGGGAGGGGAGGAGAACTGAAAGAGATCAAAGCCGGCTAGCTGGAAAGCAGATCTGCTGGCTCTTTTGTACTTGAACCAGACAGGCCCTACGAGGTGGCTCACGCCTGTAATCCTAGCACTCTGGGAGGCCGAAGCAGGCAGATTGCTTGAGCTCAGGAGTTCAAGACCAGCCTGAGCAAGAGTGAGACCCTGTCTCTACTAAAAATAGAAAGAAATTAATCGGACAACTAAAACTATATAGAAAAAAATTAGCCGGGCATGGTGGCGCATGCCTATAGTCCCAGCTACTCGGGAGGCTGAGGCAGGAGGATTGCTTGAGCCCAGGAGTTTGAGGTTGCTGTGAGCTGGGCTGACGCCACGACATTCTAGCCCAGGCAACACACTGCATACTGTGTGTGCCTCGTGTGGGGTGTCTGATTCAGGACTGTGCTGGCTCTGTGGGAATAGAACCCTGGCAGGGGGGCAGAGGTTAGGATGGCCCCAGGACTTCAGCAGTGGAAAACACAGAAGGTCTGTAGGGAGATGAAAGGCCCACGGAACCATCCCTGCCTACCAGGGAAGCCACATGGCTGGATATTCAAGGTCATCTCTTCACCCTAGCTACCTCCATAGGGCGTGGATCGGTGGGTGCCTCTTAACTCCAAAGTTTGGAATCCCAAAGCCCCCTCAGGTGTTTTGTCAACCTCTCTGCCAGGAAGTTCTTTCTTAGGTCTGTCTTAAAACTTCTTCTGCTGGTACAGAAGCCAATTTCCTTTAATCTGGGGTTTGGCAAACTTTTACCAAGAAGGACCAGATAAATATTTTAGGCTTTGCAGGCCACCCAATCTCTGTTATGGCTACTCAACTCTGTTGTAGCTCAAAGCAGCCACAGACAATGTGTAAATGAATCAGCATGGCTGGATTCCAATAAAAACTATTTATGGACACAGATTTAAATTTCATATAATTTTCACGTATCACAAAATATGATTCTTTGATTTTTTCAAAACCCATTTTAAAATGTAAAAACTACCCTTAGCTTGCTGACTATGGAAAACAGGCAGTGGGTCAGCTTTGGCCCAAGGGCCATAGTTGGCCAACCCCTGCCCACGCCTCCTAGTTCTCAACCTTGACTGCACACTGGACTAATCTGGGGAACTTTCACAGGCCTGGGGCCCACCGCTAAGCTGCGTTGCTGTCTGGGCTTCATAGTTGTTCAGAGTTCCCAGGTGACTCCCCTGTGTAGCCTGGCTGAGGACCTCTGCTGTCTGCCCCCGTCTGGCGCAGCACAGCTGGTGAGAAATGGGCCTATTCCACCTCTCACTGCCTTAGTGACCTTAGCAAAGTCACTTAAGGTCTCTGTGCCATAATTTTTTTTTTTTTTTGAGACAGAGTCTCGCTCTGTTGCCTGGGCTAGAGTGCCGTGGCATCAGCCTAGCTCACAGCAACCTCAAACTCCTGGGTTCAAGCGATCCTCCTGCCTCAGCCTCCCGAGTAGCTGGGGCTACAGCCATGTGCCACCATGCCCGGCTAATTTTTTCTATATATTTTTAGTTGTCCAGCTAATTTCTTTCTATTTTTAGTAGAGATGGGGTCTCGCTCTTGCTCAGGCTGATCTTGAACCCCTGACCTTGAGCAATCCTCCCACCTCAGCCTCCCAGAGTGCTGGGATTACAGGTGCGAGCCATCACGCCCAGCCTCTGTGCCTTGATTTTTTTCATCGCAAAATGGGGGCAATAACTCGTCCTTCACAGGGGTGTCGTGAGGAGTTAATGACTAATTCTTATAAGATGTTCAGAACAGTGCCTGGCACATAATAGACTCCCAGTGTTAGCTAATTAATTATTTTGGGAGAATTTTAGTAGGCGTTCTATTCTTCCACGATGATCTGTCACATACTCAAAGATAATTTCTAGGTCACCATTCAGGCTCCTTCCCCAAAGTGTGTTCCATAGAACATTGGGGCCATGAGATGCTCCACTGGAAAGGGAGGGGTAGGGTTCTGTGGTCAATGAGGTTTAGGAAATTGTTCTGGCCTCAGCCCTGGGCAACACGTGCAGATAGATTCCAGGCACTGAGGCAGAGCTGGAAGAGTAAGTGGCTTCGCAATAATAGGTGCATGAGTCTAAAAACATACCCGGGGAGAGCTGAGCAGGGGGCCCAGTGGAAACCAATAGCTATTGGGCCCATCGCCTGAGCCTGTCACCTGGGCCACCTGCATTCCTCCACTGGAGTCTTACAGCCATTCCCAGATACACACTGTTCCCATGGGGCTGCCTTTCCGTGGTTTGGTGACACCAAGAGTGCTTTCTGTGCCTGCTGAGAATGGGCTGAGGGTCCAGTGACATGAGGGCCTGGCCTCATGGGAAAATGACAGCTTTGCAGCCGCGCGAGGAGGGACCGAGCCACACGTCAAATCCCAAAGCCACAACCCCTTCCACCACTGAGATGCTGCAGGTGGGTCCTTACTTTAAGCCGCATTCAGCCCACCCAATAAAACCTAATGCTAAGTGGGCACACGGCTCCCTGGGATGGGGTTCACTTTGCTGGAGAGACAGTCAACAGACATGTGACCTACAAGGTCCGTGTTTGGTGCTGGGAGAGATGGTGGAGAGGCCAGAGGAGCAAACCGCTGGGGCTCCTCATTGCAGGTCACATGGGGCTGGATTGGGCGCTGTCACCTCCACGATAATCTTCACTCCCACAGGCAACAGCGAGTGTGTGTTTGTTCGTGTGTGTGTGTGTGTGTGTGTGTGTGTGTGTGTGTGTGTGTGTATACTGGGGAGGGGGTCAGCAGGGATGGGCAGTTTGCAGAACTAGGGAGTGCATTTTCTGAATTCTAAGCTTTCTAGCCCTTTGCTACTCAGAGTGTGGTCCGGGACTAACAGCAGCACCTGGGGGCTTGGTAGAAACGCAGAATCTTGGGCCCCACACCCCCAGCCCTACTGAACCAGACTCTCTGGGGCTAGGGCCTGGCCATCTGGCTTTTAACAAGTCCCCAGTTTGTTCTGTGTGTGATAAGGTTTGAGGGTCGCAGGTCTAGGATACAGAGGGGAAACAGAAATGTGGGCTATAGTCAGGGACATTTGGATGATTGGGCCATTTGCATTCAGGCATGAATTGGCAAGTCTGAGATCCGGTTTGCCCAGCTAATAATTACAGCAGTGCCAAACTCCCAGGCTCTTGTAGGGGTTTCTGACTCTTAGGAAATTTCTTGGGGAGCTGTGGTTCCTCTTTAAATGCAGGAGCAGCAGGGGGAGGGGGGAGGTGCTACACCCTTGTAGTCCTATGATGTCATGTTGCATGTGCTCTGTTGAGCTGTAAATAAAGAGATAATGGTTAAGCCGACTTGTGGACTTGTCGAGTTGTCAGAAGTTGTCATCTCTCTCCGCTCCTCCAGGAGGTGGTCTGTCTGTGCTG